ATATATGAAGAAGGCTCATACCTTCACAAACGTACTGACCTAACTTGAGCGTAGCACCGTTGAATTTTCTATCAAATGCTGTTTCTATCAAGTGTATTTTCTATCAAATATTTTTCCTATCTATTGTATTTTCTATCATTTATGTTTCTATCAAATGTATTTTCTATCAAAAAACATTCGATCAAATGCATTTCTATCAAAAACACTTTCGATCAAAAGACTTCCATCAAATGTTTTTCTATCATTTGTCTTTCGATCAAATTTCCGCCACCCGCAAATATTGACCATTCCATTTGGCCGGATGTTATGACCAGTCAGTAGTGGTGGTATAAATAGTAAGATCCAACACATCAGTTTGAGAGCAATGAGTGTAGACTCTAGTTATCCGTCTTGTGAAATGTTTTTCGAAAACGGTAGTACTAGTGCATGAGATGGTTAGAGCAAACAGCGAAAGCTGAATTGTACCACCTGCTCACTTCATCGTTCCAGTTGTCCAGAGGGAAATGATCACGTGACGTCGCATGTATAATTTGAATTTAGCGCCGGTCTCTGATTGGTTTAGTGAGCGTGGCCTCAAACTGAATGCTCGCCTCTGATTGGCTTGTCCCAGAAACCTTGTACCCCTACTATTTGCATAAAACCTCAAATTTAAATCCAGAAACATTAGTGGAATAGCATGCGGAAAAATAGAAAAGTACACGAATCGATTCAGCTTTTTGTGCACTCCTCAAAGATGTTAGAGGATTCTTGGAAATTCGAAAATACAGCAGTGTATTCTTCTTGGGGCCTCGAAATAATATGGTGAATTTTCGACAATCCGGACCTGGATTTTTCTCGATCATGACTGATAGGTGAGTCGCCTCGGTAGAAGAAGGGGAACTTGTGTACAAAATTCATTTATAATATACTGGGTGGTTCGTAAGTAATGTTCTCAAAAAGAATTGAGCAAAATTGATGAAACACCCTATATCTTGGATGTAAAACTTGTAAGACCCTACAAATATGGTATACTTAGAAACACATGGAACCACCTTAATGAGCTCTACTCCTATTACTTTTTTATCATTGATGGTAGCAATTAAAAAGAAATTTGGAGGTTGTGAATATATTTAGTTCAATTGACATTTTTTTATATATCTACTTGCTCTTTTCCGTAATTCGGGTTTGACCGGGAATTAGCTCAACTGTAGATTTTTAAATGGGACAAGCTGTATTTCATTCCTTGATCGGTTATTAGGGATTATAACGATACAGGTTTTATTTATTCAACCGCATCAACCAATATGGTACAATAGTGTAACATCCACTTTTAGTAAATGTTTCTTTCCCCACGAGATATTGAAAGTACCAAGTATTCAAGTGACCTTTATAGAGTAATTGATTCAACTCTGGTTTTCACTGAATTTATTTTGAGAATTTTCATTTCCTTTTGGTAGGATATTTTGAGCTTCTCTGTCACAGATTTCATGGAGCTGCGAGTCACTGGCATTCGTCGGATATGATCCTGTGTATTCTTTACATAATTTGGTTGAAAATTTCAACGTTTCTGAGAAAGACTTCAAGTTTTTTTAAGTTTTCAGGGTTTTGGCACTGATTAAGTGTATGGGACACTTGGTTTATTCTCTGTCGATACACCGGGTTCGATATAGGGTTATTTCAAACGATTACGAAGATATTTGCGTTCGCAGTTTCCATATGCGTCATCTCATGACGAAATGATATATGTCCCAAAGGCATGTGAAAACATTGTAGTTTATCGAACGGCACCTGTGCCAATCACTATCCTGAGCAAAATGATTGAACAATTGCACTTTCCTGTGCGGAAATTTGCACTGGTTTTCGCGATTCGATAACGAGATAAGAATTATGCCATCCGATACCAATTGAATGGTAGATTTCATAAACAAACCTGTGTCACCCCTCAGTCTGAGCCAAATCTACGGCACAACAATTTATTTATTCATTTATTCATTGCTGCTATTATTCCGGACATACTTTCTTCATGTGATAACGAGTTGAAACAAGAAGCAAATAGAAGAGGATGATGCCGCCTTTCCGAATATCCAAACGTGTGGCGATTCAAACTGAAGTTATTTTGGCAGAGCGTCATTACTTCCCAGAATATTCCCCCCCCCCCCCGCTAAAGATAAAATCCGATGGACCAGTGTAAAACTCAACTTGTGGATTGAGATTCACATGGTTCCAAGGGCGGAATATTCACGGAAATATTGACGCTCTGCCACTAACTTTTTTTTTTTTTTTTTTTTTATCGCTTGGAGCGCACGAAAGGGAATCCCTATAATGTTCAAAGAACATCGTGCGTTCCTAGGGAGGATAGGGACAGGAGGTAGGTATTGGAATTTTTTTTGAACTTTTGGAGATTATATGTTGTTGGGAATACTTATATCAGTTTGAATCGCGGCACGTTTGGCGGCTTTATATTACCGTAGAAGATTTCCAGACCCAAAAATACGTACATAAGTAAAACCTTCATGAGGGTGAACATTAGGGATATTGAAAGGAGAGCAAATAACACATCCTCATCACTTGCAAAAGTGCAAGAACAATAATTGAAGCACAGTTCACGAACATGAAAATCTTCATGGCGTAATTTTACCAGTTGGTACCTATCAATTCGGATTATCAACGATAGCCAAGTCATGTCACACAACAAACAAAACAGGGCTTACTTTCTCATTATTAATTCAGTTGAATTGTATAGAACTTATAACCTCCGATGGTAAAAAAATCCAACACCTATCAGGTAACAAGCTCACGTCATTTGTACGTCATTATCACGTCAGGCCTGACGTCAGGATGACTTCCAAAATGACGTCATAATGACGTTTATATGCCCTTCTAAGTCAAAGACGAATGACGTCATTTTCATGTCCTCAAAATGACATCATCCTAATGGCGTCAAAATGACGACATCCTATAATGGCGTCAAAATAACGTAATCTTTACGATTATTTATATCACTGAAATCTTCTGTACGTTTCAGTTTATTTTGTGCTATTTCGAAATTTCCTGTAGATAAAAAAAAACACTATTATATTAAGGTTGTATCTATATTATCAGAAAAGATAAGATTTTTTTTGTATAATTATATTGATGTTCCTTTACCACATTGAATACAAAATAATATTATAGGTACTACAATTACCAGTTTCATGAAAATTTCTTTCTATTGGGAACCTATCCCATTCGTGTGATACACTCGAGAGATTTCTCATAGTCCTATGATATTCCTTCAATGGCTGCCAATTCACATTCAGCTTTTTCGGCGTATCCCACTTGTCTAAAATGGCCAAGCTGCCATCCTCAAATTTTACTACCTACTTGAAACATAATTTTTCATTGAACTGGCCAAAGTGTGCCTTGCAAATCGAAAAGCAGTTCCCATGGCATTTTGAATCTGATAAAATTTTTCGAGAAAAGTGATCACGAACTTTTTGACATAACAATAAAACATGAATTATTCCCAAGTCCGGATCTGGATTTTTTTTCATAATATGCCATCTTGAATAGTTTCAATAGAGAAACATTGCTGTCAAAATTCAGCAAACTACGATGACTCATTTCTGAAATATCGTCCATCAAAGTTATACGACAATTTCACATAATACCTTAGGCATATCTTTGTTATGGATGACAAGAAAAATTATTCATATACAGGGTGTATCTGAATAACACCAAAAAAATTCGAGGGGTGTTTCCTTGTGACATTCTAGCAAATAAAGTTCATATAAACATGTGTCCTAACTTGCTCCGTTTTTGGGATACAGGATGTTGAAGTTGGAAGTATTAATTGTTTTTATTCATAACCCCCCTGTATGAGCTTTCATGGTGCCAAAATTCAGTATGGATGGAGACTGAGAAAGCCCCAAAATTTCAAAATGATTTGAATTGGGGTTATTGAGTTATCAATGGATGCCTTGAAAACACCTACATTAGAATTTGGAGTCAAATCGAATTTTTATTGTTTCTTCAAAAACTAAGCTAGATACAGAAATCGCACAGTGGTTAAGAAAGTTGTTATTTCAATAGCTCAATCTAATAAAGATATGAAGCTCAGAAACACCGTTGGTGTACAATGACATTCACCATGAATATCGATGAATTTACCCACTGTGACTCCACTGGAAATATTATTTCGAATCTAATTGCACTAGAAGAAGTTCCATATTACTATTAACAAAACCACAACTTTTTATTGAAATTGATGAAAATACAATTGAGAAATGGATAGAAAAAAGATTTTTTATGGAAATATTAATACCCTGTATCTCGAAAACGAAGCAAGTTATGACACATGTTTATATGAACTTTGTTTCCTAAAATATCACAAGGAATCACACCTCGATTTTTTTCGGTGTTATTCAGATTCACCCTGTATACAACATCAACTCGTCCTGATTTCTTCTATTCACCATTTGGCCATATTTGGCTATGTGAGTCCCCACATGAATCACTTTGTATATGTGCTTCCTCTGTCTGATCCATGATATATTTCTGCACATGAGCGCCGCCATCAGGATTATTTTCAGGGGGGTGCATCTGCATCAACACACTATACGTATGTGTATGTTATGTCTATTAACAAACAAAGGAGAGCATCCTATACCCTTTGGAATTATTTATTCGAACAGTAACTCAATACAGAACATTTTCAATCTTTTTTAGGTATTTCATTTCCTAACAGAGAGAGGGGTGTAGGTAATTGCACCCCCTTGCACCCTGCTGCCGGCGCCAATGTTTCTGCAAATATTCCTTACCTAACCCAGTAGGAACTTTTTTTGGTGATAGCTCGAGTTTATGATAGGAGAAAGATATCAAAGTAACTCGCTCAAGGAATATCATTGAACCAAATAATCGAGTTTTTCCCATGCGAAAATTAATACACCAGACTCAATAACATTCAAATCATTTATCATCTCATTTCCAATGTTTTTCGGTGACTATAAAGTTGATTGAATGAAGGTATATTCATATTCTAGAGCTCTAACATTGCAATCGCAATATGGAATAGTAAATGGTATGAAGAATCACTGAAAGTGAAAAATCTCATGTTGATGATGATGATGAGATGTACCCGAAATCTGTGTTTGGAAATTGGCCCGTTCAACACTATGTCACTTAGAACATTTTTAGGTGTAAGTATATATTATAGGTATATGCCTCCAAGTATAGTTTGAAGCTTTCCTCATAAAGATTTTAATTGATGCTTCCATGTAGATCACGAAATTAAGGAATGACCTAACCTAACCTAACCTGCCCTCTCTTCTTTCCAATTCAAATATACTATATAAGGGATAAAAGATGAAAGATCAGGCTGTCATACTTTTTATCATATATCGAACATTCAATTTTTGTTAACCAGTGGCGTAGTCACTGTCGTATGTGACACTTTTTCCTTCATATTTTCCCCCAAAAATGATATCCTCTTAATGAGTTTGTATTGAGTAGTGATTTTTTTTGCAGGGTGCCATTATCACCTCATAATAGTGATTTCTAACAGCATTACGGAATATTTCTCAACTTTCTGACCATTTTTGAGTTTAATTCTGAGAGAGATCTTCAAGAAAATTCAAAAACATATACGGCTTTCCTTTTGGAAAATTCTTTGAGTTTTGTCATGACTTGACCTTTATATATGGGCACCTCAGGAGCAACTGGTTTTTGCGTGTAACTTTTTTTTAAACTATCGTTTATTAGCTCTTTCAACAAAAGAGTTGAGTGGGCCGAGTTAAGAATATATGTGAAGATCCTGAACTGATCAGTAATATTGCAAAACCATTCTGTCAATAGGGCTGATTGCAAGATTTATACTTCAAGTCGATTCTTTGCAAGAACTGCGTGCAATTGTATTTCTCTGGAAAATTATATATTTTTTGAGAAATTACAAATTGAAGGTTGATTACAAAAAATAAATAGAATTCACGATGTTATAGAGGTGATTCAATTTATACTGAATATATACTTTTTCTCCAAGCGGCAGGGATAGTGGCTTTTTCCTGCCGCTTCACAGGCAAAAAAAGTATACTTTTACTACCTAGGCAGAAAAAGTTCGTTGCTATGCAACGTTCCAACAAATTCTGTTGGAATTAGTAATCAAAATTGACACTGACATTGGGTTAACACAAAATGATAAAGTTTTAAATGAAAAAAATACACAAAATTGGTTTTATATCATTTGGAAAAAAAATTCTATGTTTCACACGGCAGCAAATGTATAGATTGACTGCCTTGACTGAATTCCTAGCCTCGCCACGCTTGGCTATGAACTATCAGCCGCGGCAGTCAATCCACTACTTTTCTGCCTAGTAAAACAAATAACTATTTTGGACCCCTTCTATATCTACGAAGTTTCTCAGCTCCCATAGAGAATTTTATGCAGGATCCAGTTGCGCACTCTATGCGCACGGGGTATGGTTTTGGAGAAATGACTCTAACTTGATTATGATTTTCTAAATGGAACACCTTGTTTTTCATTAGCTCATTGAATTCTTTATTTCACTAACAAAACACAAAACTAAGGTGAAATAAGCACCTGAATAAATATTCACAAAAACAATTGAATTTCAAAATCATCCAGTAACTTATTCATTGAATTCTTCAAAATAGTCCCCACACACTTTTCCATTACGTCTTAATGCATTCAGAATCATTGAAGGGTGTCTTTGTAATTCCTGGAAAACTGCGTCTCTGTTGTTGAACGAAGTTCTTCAAGATTGTAGTGCCTCTTACTGTATTAAGACGTATTGAAAAAGTGTGTCAATTGTGTGTTAGGTTAAATGGATTTCAATTTGAACAATTCAATGAATAAATTACTGAATAATTCCGAAATTCAATTATTTCAGTGAAGAATTGATCAGGTGCTTATTCAACATTATGAACTTTTTATTACTATCTATTTGTTGCTATCAGGTACCTAAGTTTTGTGTTATGTTCTGGAATTCATTGCCTAAGTAAGTATTTTCAAGAACTTTTAATCTCTAAAAGTTTCGTGTGCACCTAGCGATAAAAAACTTCAAATTTCACGTCGATAATTTCCTGATTTCAATATAATGTATTATCTTCTTAATATTGATCCGTTCTCTTTTCCAATAGTGTATTAAACACAGGAAAAATATTAGATTTCAGGTCACGGGTTTTTGGCTCCCTCCGCCACGCGTCGTGAGCTAAAATCTACTTCTTTTTTGCCTTGTTCAATTAATTAGTAATGTTTCATGGAATTCCAAAATCTACCTGCCCTTTATTAAAAACATTTTCACTTCGCACATTTTCGATGAATCCTTGATTGCATTGACTTTTTTCAGATTCTCAAAGCTACCTACTCCTACATGATGGTGATTTATAGAAGATAGATTTCGAATAACTAACAATGCCTGAAGTATTCATTATTACCTTTACAAATGATAAACAAACCGAGCTCTGTCGTGACTCTGTCTAATGTAAAGGCACTTCGAACCTAATGAAACATATACTGAGGATTATGATTATAATAGATAATAATGAACATTTTGACTTTTCCTATCGTTTCTGCCAATGATAGTGATGATTGGTTCAAATTCCAATCATCTGTGAGCTTCACCTGATTCATCAAAACATTAAAAATCAAAATGAGAAACAAATAACATGATTCAGGCAGGGAAAAACTATACATACAGAAAAGACTACATCAAATTCTACGAAGGCGTAGAAGGGCCATCAACTTTATTTTTATGGAATTGCCACTTCGAAGTCGCAATTGCCACTTTGAACTGACAATTTTCACTTTGAAGTGACAATTGTCACTTTGAAGTGACACTTGTCACTATGCTTATTCAACATTATGAACTTTTTATTACTATCTATTTGTTGCTATCAGGTACCTAAGTTTTGTGTTATGTTCTGGAATTCATTGCCTAAGTAAGTATTTTCAAGAACTTTTAATCTCTAAAAGTTTCGTGTGCATCAAGCGATAAAAAACTTCAAATTTTTCGTCGATAATTTTCTGATTTCAATATGATATATTATCTTCTCAATATTGATTCGTTCTTTTCCAATAGTATATTATACACAGAAAAAATATTAGATTTTAGGTCACGGTTTTTTGGCTCCCTCCGCCACGCGTCGGGAGTTAAAATCTACTTGTTTTTTGCCTTGTTCAATTAATTAGTAATGTTTCATGAACTTTCAAAATCTACCTGCCCTTTATAAAAAACATTTTCACTTCAGTGTCAAATTGCACATTTTCGATGAATCCTTCTTGATTTCATTGATTTTATTTCAGATTCTGAAAGCTACCTACTCCTACATGATGGTGATTTATAGAAGATAGATTTCGAAAAAGTAACAATGCCTGAAGTATTCATTATTTCTTCTAGAAATGATAAACAAATCGAGCTCTGTCGTGGCTCTGTCTAATGTAAAAGCACTTTGAATCTAATGATACTTATACTGAGGATTATGATTATAATAGATAATAATGAACATTTGGACTCTTCCTTTCGTTTCTGCCAATGAAAGTGATGATTGGTTCGAATTCCTATCATCTGTGAGCTTCACCTGATTTATCAAAATATTGAAAATCAAAATGAGTGACAAATAACATGATTCAGACAGGAAAAAACTATACATACAGAAAATACTACACCAGATTCTACGAATGCGTAGAAGGGCCAACAACTTTATTTTCATGGAATTGCCACTTCGAAGTGGCAATTGCCACTTTGAACTGACAATTGTCACTTTGAAGTGACAATTGTCACTTTGAAGTGACAATTGTCACTTTGAACTGGCAATTGTCACTTCGAAGTGACAATTGTCACTTTGAACTGACAATTGTCACTTTGAACTGACAATTGTCACTTTGAAGTGACAATTGTCACTTTGAACTGGCAATTGTCACTTTGAAGTGACAATTGTCACTTTGAACTGGCAATTGCCACTTTGAACTGGCAATTGCCACTTTGAACTGGCAATTGCCACTTTGAACTGACAATTGCCACTTTGAACTGGCAATTGTAATTCAGAGATCTGAATATCTCGAAAACTGGAATACAATCTTGAAACTTCAACGCTCTATAGATCGGTAATGAAGCTTTTGCGGACACATGTTCATAGAGAGAAGTTTTATTTTGACCTGAAAAATCAGCCTCCGAAATCTTGATACTGAATTTTTAAACACTCCTGTATACAGGATGTCCATAAAAGGTCTTTAGAAAAACTTACCACACATTCCTTAGACCAAAACAATTCGATATATACAAGCGAACTTACCACAGTACAAAGTTGCTTAGTTTGGGCGCTAGACGGCTCTGAAGTTACAATTTTCAAATCGTTTTTGCTTCATAACTTTGGAACGGTTCATGAAATTTCACTCAAATTCGAAACGTTGGCATAGCTTCATCGGGCAATAAAATCCAAGGGCGTAGAACTTGAGTCCATCACACAACAACTATACTATTTTGACAATATTGACAGATCAAGACACGATCTCAAAAAAATGTGGAGAACTTTGAAGAAACTGGTTAACGGTAACGGCCAAGATGTCTCCAATGCCATAGCATGCGTTGATTATAATATTCATAAAAAATGTTAACTATAATAGTGTAGAAATAGTGTTCAGTTTTAATAATTATTTTGTGGAGTATTGAGGATATTTTACAAAATATTAACAGTAGGGAACCTTGGCAAAATGTAAACAATAATTTATATCGAAAATTCGAAGCAAGAGCTGCAAACAATAGTTAGTAGCTTGGACAATTAATTTTCGGTATATGAAACACTAAAACTAAACAGTAAAATGATCAAAGAAGACTTTGAATCCATTCCTATTGTACTGAATTTGATTAACACATCTCTGCACAGGAATAATACTGCACAAGTTGAAAAGCAGTTTTTTTCCCTATTCCTAAAATAACTAACACCAATAATGCTAATGAATTCCGTCCCGTTAATACTTTGCCTCCAATTGAAAAAGTGTTGGAAGTTGCTGTTTATGACCAGTAATCACATCACGTCACTAAAAATCCAATTCAAAAAGATAATCAATCGAGTTTCGGGAAAAATTCTCATTATTCCTTCAAAATTTATTCTTCGATGCAAGGTAGTATACTCCTGGAATATGAAATTCTTCATCAGTCATGAGTGGCCTTTCTCTTTCTGCATATCAGAATTATTCCTCCATAGGAATATAAGAAACGAAATAGTGTTAGCTGAGTTTATGACTTGATCAATATAGTTTGATAACGTGATTACATATGGAGCTTCTCAATTCTAATTTTTTTTGGCACAGTCATTTCTGTAGTTGAAATCTTATTGTTATTCACTTCCATAAGAGACAGGTTAACATAGCCTGTGATTACTTTCGACAGCAACGAATGTAGTTATGCTTCTGAATGAGAGATAGAGCCACTCCAACTATTGTGATCACTGGGCATATGAGGTTATAAGATACCAAACACATGCATTTCATAAGGAAATAAGAAACACTAGATAGGTTGATTTATACTTACCCAATATTATAATAATTGAAGAATCCATCTTCTATATTATCAATTAAGACTACTCCTGCTATCATAAATAACGACCAGGGAAAGGGAGGAGCACAATTATTGGACAACAAACCAGAGAAAAACGAAACAGACGCCATCACAAGAGTCACATACAGGGTGATAAGTAAGCGGCATCCATCCCAGGGGCGTATTTCTTGCATGCAGTTAAGGCAAAAAGTTCCTATTAATAAGGGTCCGAAAATGCTTCATAAGGGAGCTACGTCCCTTTGAATAGGACACCTCAAAGACGATGTTTCACAATAAATTTTCGAAAATTGGTGTACGGCATGAACATTCGATGGCGAATAAGACTCTCAATTCAAAATTCCAAATCACTATTCAGGGGCGTCTCATGTGGGGGGGGGGGGTAAGTATGAAAACATCCCTCCTTCTTTTGATATCCAGGTTATTGTGATTTACGCAAATCAGAAACTTTTCGAAGTCGATTTTTTCCCAAATGATACGCTATATCGAAATGAACTAAGAGTACCTTTTTCACGTGAAAAACTCTAGAATTTTATAATTTTCAAACGAAATCACAATAACCTGAATATCAAAAGAAAAAGGATGTTTTTACACTTATCGTCCCCTGAATAAAATTTCGGAATTTTGAATTCGGAGTCTTATTAACCATCTAATCTTTATGCCGTACACCAATATTCGAATATTTATTGTGGAGGATTCCAAAGTTATAGAGAGAAAATCGTCTTTGAGGTATTCTATCCAAAGGGGCGTATGTCCCGTAGGAAACATTTTCGGACCATTGATAATAGGAACTTCTTGCCTTATTTCCATGCAAGGAATACGCCCTTGAAAGGATGCCGCTCACTTTCGAATCACCCTATATAATGATGATCCAAATGATCAGCTGATTGTTCATGTAGACGTTCCTAGAATATCCACCAGTGGGACAAGTAGTGAACAGGATATTGGCCAGCAAAAGACCACAACTCCTTAGTGTTCAACTGGTTCCAGACATCTTACCATCACAAGGCTTTCATCATATTTCTTACTGATGGTTACCTAGCATTGGGAAATCATCGGCCCATCACCAATACCCCGGCATCGTCACTTTCTCAGACTTGCCTGCACTAGCCCGGTAGTTCAATGTTTGCTGGGAATGGAGTGGGCACAATAATAAACTACTAGGTAAAATACAATGGGCCACCAGGCCTGAGAGTCGTCGGAGACATTGGTCAGACGAGCCTGAAAGCGGGGTTTGATGTTTAGTGGTTATACCAAATACCCTGGCTAGAGTCAGGGAACTCCCTCATATGGGACGTTCGGATAGCCCAAAGCTAGGAGCTATCACTAATCTTTATTTACGAATGTTTCGTGTGCGAAATCTGACAGTTCCGTATAGAATGTTGAAAGAAATACAGAAACTGTTAATTTTTGTGAACGAAACATTCGAAAATAATGATTTGTGATAGCTCGTAGCTTATGGGCTATCAAACGGTAAGAGAGAATAAAATCACTGCGTATCACTGAAAATGTTGATTCGCATGGGATTGGCGTGTGCTCGACTGACTGCATTTGTTACTTCTTCTGAAAAATTATATATACTCAGAAATAGGGTGTTCGATTGACATTAACAAAAATAACGTCACTTCCTGGGAAACCCAAAGCTTGACAATGATGAAAATCTTTAAGTAGGATTCCCCTTCTTCCCTCCACCTTTTCTACACATTTTGAAAGCATGAATACGTTTATCAGTTCTCCATAAAATAGCTTCAATTCATGAAGATTGAACCGTCATTTGAAAACATGTACCTATTTAACATGTAGACAAAACTACTTTTCAATGGTCCGGCAAAGTCCTCACGGCGAACTAACGTTGATTCGAAACGTTCATTGAATCTTACACAAACTTTTTATTGAGAGTATTTGATAACCGTTGGATAAAAACGTAAAATATATCGGGTGGTCACAAAAAAAACGAAAGTTTTCGTTTTTCTCGTGGTTTCATCATTTTTCAACCAAATTCGAATTTCTTGACGTCATTTTGTAGATAAAGGGCTATAGTGTACAGTGCAATATTTAAAAATTCCATAATTGTAAAACACAAAAAGGTGGAGTATCTCAAATTTGTGATTTACAAAAACAGCTGTCGAAAAAGAAATTCAGGATTTTTCCAACCTATACCGATGTTATTTCAGACCATTCATTTCTGAAGAGAATCTGTACTCGAACATCGAAATCGAACAAAATACACTCACTTTTTCGCAGTGTGTTATGGATTCACTCCATCTCGTAATAACGATTATTATTATTTTGCTTCTGGCTTTATGGAATTTTAATCGATTTCGGATTCCTCAGAGCCATTTCAAAGTTAAAAAGCTGTATTACATAGTGGAACATTTGAAAATTTCATAATTGAGAAAAACAAAATGGTGGATTATCTCAAACATTTGTGATTTACAAAAACCGCTGGCGAATGGAAAAATGATGATTCTTTCAATCAGAACCGATGCAATTCTAGATCTTTGATTTCTAAAAAAAATTAGCGCTCGAATATCTGAAGCGAACAAATAGTCCGGGAGATACACGTTCTTCTTTGCAAGAAACCATTAAGGACGAAGTAATGAAGGAACTGTACTTGATGATTCAAAATGGCTGGCTCCAATCGAACAATAGTGTGCCTACATATCCACTCCCTTATTGGCAGTTCAGACACCTTTATACACAATATGGACCTATTTTCAAATGTGACAGAATCCTTATACAACCAAATATGCGAAAAGAAATGTTGGATACATTACATTGCAGCCATATCTAGGTAAAGAATATACAATAAATTTAGCTAGGGAGAGGATATTTTGGCCAATGATGACAGCGCAGATGAAGGATAA